CACACGAACAAACATGTAAATCGCGTCAGACACTTTAGATATTTTCAATAGATTTCCTCAAATCAGAGTTAGAACATCTTTCACCATTTATAGGGAAAAAGTGAGTGAGTCAGTAAGAGAAAAGCTGCAGCGTGCTTCGTCATTTTACTCTTAGAGCTCCTCTCTCTCCCTCTCACGTCAGCCTTAAAAATGGCAGACAGGATGCGGACCAAATAGGAATCATCATACTTTGTCCTAACTTTGGACCAAAGAATCCCTAATTTTCGATATTTATACAACGCATCGCGGGCGAATTTTCATTATACTTTTTTTCTCCAGAAACGAAGAGGAAAAGAAATTGCTGATCGAGGATTCTGCGAGAAGGATAGATATTCTCGGCAAGTCCATCAACACGATGAAATACTAGTAGATAGTAATGAGAATATGAATATAAACAATAATGTATCGATATGCAGGTAAAACGTGCAACGTGCAATAAATAATCGTGTTCCTCTGTTTAAAACCCCAGAATTCAATACAAATCGTAATTCATCCCTCTTGACTGTGACTGATTTGCATCCAGTTGCGCATTGTTAGCTCCTCGGTTCGCAATTAATCGGAACTTCTGCATAACTTGGGTCACTCAGCGTTAAAGCCCTCTCTCCTCTCCCCCTCTGAACTCTTACCAACCATGCAAGTATTCGCCGGATGTGCCGTGCGCTTGATGAGCATCACCACGGCAGCGACGGTGGCGGTAGCAGCTTTCTCAAACGCTCTCGATCTTGCTGAATGTTTAAAACATCTTCCACGTTTAACCTGCTACTAAGCAGACTTTAATACGAGTGGGAATAATTTAAGTTCGCGTAGAGAGAGTAGTTCTCGGCTTATAAATCCCAATTACTTTCGCGCGGTTACTGTAACTCGCCTACTCCCCGAATGTCGGCGATTAAGTATCATGTTGTAATTCTTGTCACGGATTGCCAATCTTGTACAATTTTCACGAAGATCTCTCACCTCTTTTTCGAATAAAGAACGAGTGTCCTCGTACGAAAACAGCTAGCATTGTCGTTACCTGCGGGATGCTCTGTTGAAATAATAATGTCTCGTGCAATCGTCGTTGTGCATACGAATTTAAGCGGTTTATCCGCCGCTTTCGTAGACATTAGGTACACAGGACAAGGATGAAAACGAGATCACGCGCTGATTCACTTGTCTCTCGTGATCTATCCGTTTTGTCTGCACGCGAAACAAATGATCCTTCCAGATCATACTCGATCTCCTCGTATCGTTGACCCATTCATTCCTTGGCATCAATGATGCATTGTACTTTGCCGAAGTGAGCTTTCAGCAGCTTTTAATAGACGCTCCTAACAGCTATTAATAACTTTTCTAGCGGACGCTTAAAAATACTGAGCCGATGAATCCCCTCCGTGAGTTCGTAAGTTCATGACGTTCAGTTTACCTGCCCGTTGACGCACCACGGCAATTGTTCGAAGGAACACTTGCGTCCAACGCCGCACAAACTCGTGATTTATTACGAGATATAATCGGTGATCGGTCACTTTGGTCCGAGCGTAATTTAAACCTAAACGACGACGCGGAGTCGAATTCAACATCGCAATTAAGGGAAATATATATATATATATATATATATATATATATATATATATATATAGAGAGAGAGAGAGAGAGAGAGAGAGAGAGAGTCGCGGATAATTTATAAGTTTCGCTGCTATTAACCAGGTGGAGAAAAAGCTGACTCGGATAGCTATGTGACGATAATCGATAGTGTTTTATGGCCATTAATATCCTGCCGGTCTTACAAGGGGTAAGAGAGAGGCTCCAATCGCGGTTGCAAGAAAGGGAAGCCCCGGCGGATCCGTAAAAGGAGAGTCTATGTGAACATCGCTGCGTTCTTAATTAACAGAGGGTAAACTTCCCGAATAAGATTACGGCGAATTAATGTGCAAAATGAGCAAGTTATCAGTTATTATAGGACACGTGTAAAAAAAGGAATCGGGATTTAAAGGTCTCGCCGAACAAAAATTGTTCAATCAACACTAGTCGAAAGATGGACCTCAGTCTGGAACTCTTTCTGTCTCTTCATCTTTCTTGTTTCAATGCCTTGCAAGTATCTAGCGTCGTGGAAAATTTTAACGAGATCTCGATTCTACGTCAAAATGAGAAATGCGAGGCTAAATTCTAACGAAGGAAGGCGAGATACATCGGCGCGTTCACTTTAATCGGCGAATAAAGAGTGCGTGGTAATTAAAATATTAATTATGCCCGGATGCTCGAGCAATTTTTCTGGAACTAAGCGAACGAGCGAACGAGAAGATATCGAGTTTACGGTCGATCGGTCGACTGATAGCTGCTGCTGCCGTGAACGGCCAACGCAAGATAATTCGAGCATCGGGTATGGCTCGGTGAGGCTCATGCGCGATACTTTGAGAATCAGTTTTCATCGGGTGTATGTCTGTAAAACAGAGTGTGTAGAGAGACGGATAACTACTCGCTCGTGGGTTCGTTTCACGACCCGTTCCACCGGTTTATCCGGCAAGGTTCTAATCAGTGATAATAGCAAGAGTAACGTGTGACACACCGATTGTTCCTCTGTTTCACAAGTATGAGACGATTGTACACGGCGTGATTAACGATCGATATAAAACACGTTTCTTAAGTATTACATGGAAGTGCAATCGCGAACTTCCGACACGATGTGTTTCGTATTTATCGAGCGCGACAGTCGTTTCAGGGCTCTCGTTAATACTGCACATCCGTATCCTGTCTGTGTTTCGGCATGAAGTTCAGTGTCAGATTCGGAACAACTCTATACACTACATGATCCCTCGTACCCGGAAGGCTAACAACGATCGCAACTTTACGTGTTTCAAAAACAAAACGTTAACTCCTGCGACTTGTGACGTGAACTCCTCACGAGCGGATAACGCAGCAACTTTGCCGGATGGCAAGTGTCTTTTACATACATACATACCGTGTATAATTTCGCCTTAGAGGTGCCTGTGAATTTTATTGGCGTTATATCACACATCATTCCCTCCAACTCGCAAAAATCGATAACAAGTCACTGTCGCCAAATACAATTGCGTTTGGAGCAGCGACTGAGTTCCAGTTTAGAGTTATTAAAATCACCGATATTATCAATTAGTTATATATCGCACTGCTGATATTAATATTCATTCAGTTAATGATATCCTGAAGTATACTGAAATCTGATCTTGCTATATGAATAATAATTGTGTAAACGCACAACACGCCACGTCATAATTTAAAAGCATTAATATGTGGTTTATTTAAACAGATATAGCAAAAATATGCACACGAATAATTTTGTGAAAATAAACAGATCGATATCATCGTTACACGTAATGTTCAGTCAGAATTACCATTAAGTGTCAAATATAAAAAGAGAGTGTCTAATGTACCGTTTGTATATGCTAATTTCTAAGTAAAAAAATTATTCGGGTCATTTTACTTTCGAGCTTTACATGGCATCTGTCGGTGAATAAATTTTTCTAATTACGCTAAATATGTTATGCAACAATCGTTATTTTCATCTTGATTTGCTTAGATATCTTATTTTGCTCATTGCGATCATGTGCATTATTAAAAAACATCATACTCGTTTCTTAAGTCATTCGATTGCAATAATCATTAACAGGTGGCATTAGCAGTTTTAGTGGCACTGAATTAGAATTTCAGAATTGTTCTGATACAATTGCGAGACGATTGTATATCTATCGTGCATGGGATAATCGAACAATGTATATTGTTGTCGGCCACATTTCAGCGAAAGGAAAAATGCGCGCACTCGCGCGTCTCTGGTTTTTCTATAAATACCTCTAAATAGCGTTTACGTGTAGTGCGACACGTGACATGCGACGCGCACTGCTTATTCGCAAAAATATTATCTGAACGGAGCAGCGGTCGATTGAGCGCGCTCGTCGCAACGCTCGGCGCTGAAAAGTTCCAGCACGGTGGAGTGGGATGCATCGAGATGCATTATTTAAGGCCGCGGCTCTTATGGGCGTGCTCCGAAGCTAAACGAATATTTGGTCCAGTGATTACCTTACGAGAGGACACGCCTCGCCGGACGCGGCCCCGTTCTCCGTACAAAAGAAACTCAATTTAATCTCGAAACGAGGCCGAATATGCGCGCGAATTAATGGAATTCAGTTCGGCCGTTGCAACGCGCTCGACTAGCTGCGTTGCATGCATTCGTCGAATAACTATGAGCGCGCGATCTAGCGAAGCGTGAGAAAACGAGAAGGGATTATAAGAAAAGTGAAAAAAGAAAAGGGGGCAAAAGAAGCGACACATAGAAGAGTGGACAGGTATATCGCAGTCTCTTTGGCCGATTAGACAGTTAATTAAACGAGATGACGAATGTAATGTTAAATTCTGTTAATGGCCTCTGCCAACGAACCGAACAACACTAAATACAATAATTTCGCGCTATTAATATCGCAATCACGTATTTATACATCTTAGTCATCTTGCAAGTTACATAATTAATAAATGAGATGCATAATGAGACTTACCTTGATGTTTTCTTATCATTAATAATTGGTCAGCTGATACCATACATGTGTAATCGCTCGAGTAAGCTAAACATCAGCTTTATATTTGTTTTGGCCCAAACACACGTCAATCTGCACCTGTAATCAAGTTCGGATAAATTTCGTTAAATTTCGCAAAGCCGTCGAGAACTCCTGAATTCTATAGATGTTTCTTTAGTCCCACGCGAGAAAATTATTTTGAAATCTACAATATCGTTATCTCAGAACATGTTGGGTATTCTTATAATCTTTCGAAACGTAAAATTTATTCCATTTTTGACTTTATCAATGTATGTATTATATTGCGTGATCTCTGTATACCACATGTTATGTAAATACGTATGTGAACAACGTACTTCTTATCGTTTTATGTAAAGATAAGATATAATATTACTTAAGTAACGATAAGATATAAAATTCATACATGTAGGCAGAAGAGTATTTAAGCTGTAGCTTATTCCTGATATAGTTATTTATAATGTGGCGCGTTATTATACTCATTGCCGTTTCAGTGGCAGGTAAGTTGAAAATTATTTATACGTACATTATCGGTTACATTGACTCATAGTCGGCAATAAAAAAATTGCAACACGTTTATATATGTTTGATGTATTTTACGAACAATTCTGTGGTCACAGCTTTCTAAATATTTATAAATCTAGATATAATTTGCGACATGTTACAACATGTTAATCTATATTACAATTTTTTATCAGAATTTAGAAGCGTGATTTGATATCATGAAAATAAGTTCTGATAAGACATCAGAAAATATTATTTCGGTTAAAATACACCAGAACAATTTTTATTCGATTATTTGAAGGCGATTTTGCACGATATGATTTTCATTATGATTATAAATTTTTCTATGAAATTGTGGATATTTCTACCTATCAAAGCATCCTATCAGAAATGCAAAGTATGCAAAACATAATAAAATTCTCAATTATAAGAAAATGTTAAATTTGGTTAAATTCGCATAAAAATTCGCCCAAATGTTCTATGCAACGTCGAAGGAGAAATATTTAATTCAATATATTTCTTTCATGAATATATGCAGGTGTAACAACGAAAAGTTGCGTCAAACGTAGATCGGAATCCACCGGAGATGAAGATGGGCATTATTGTGTCTGTAATGCAACGTATTGCGATACAACTCCGCATGTGTTCAAACCGCGCAATCTCGAAAGATATTTTCTAATAACATCAAACAAAGATGGACTACGATTTCATGTATCAAGCAACATATTTAGAAATTTTACTCCAAATGATTGTGAGTACTCGAAGACCACTATATTATTCGGGACAAAATCGTTTCTCCAACAAATTACAAGTACTTTCAAGCGTAATATGTGTCGTGCAAGTTATCACGAAAAAAACTTTTTAATTCAGTTTCATCGGGGAAAATCAGCGTAAATCGGAGACAAAGATATCAGGACATCATCGGCTTTGGAGGAGCGCTGACTGACTCAGCAAGCTTCAATATCTTCAGTTTGTCAAAACATGCTAATAATAATTTAATGAAGTATGACGAGAATACATTGTGTTTGAAAAATTTATCTCTAACTTAATGGCGATCGTCATATGTATTATTTAGGATATTTATACAGATGCACTTAAAAAAAAACCATTTTACATTCGATTTTTCAGGAGTTACTTTGGACCAGGCGGTATCGAATACAGTATGATCAGAATGCCAATGGCATGTTCGGATTTCTCATGGAGACCTTATAGCTACTTGATGGACAATGATACTTCCCTTTCCAATTTCTCTTTAACGAGGGAAGATAATTTTTACAAGGTTATATTAATTTATTTATCGTTATATTATTTTCGCTGCTGTAAGATATATCAAAGGTCATTTTTGGCCACGGTTAAAATTGCATTAAAATATGCAGTTCGTTAAATATCTAAATTGTTAATAGATACCGATAGTAAAGAAAGCTTTACGGATGAGAAATGGCAAAATAAAATTGTTGACACTGCCGTGGTCCCCAAGTTCTTGGATGAAAACGGATAACACTACTCTAAATGAGAATTCGTTACGCCCGGAATATCGGAGAGTATGGGCAGATTATTTCGTAAAGTAACATATTACAATATTTTTACTATCTACATTTTTATCTATTTGCAAAAAACTGACTGACTGAAATATATTTATAAATAGAGAATATTTTTATAATGCATTTATTGTGAGATACATAGAGAAAAAAAGAACATTTATCGTAAGTGATCATTGCTTTCTTATAGATATCTTGAGGCTTATCAAAATAATAGTATAGAATTTTGGGCTTTGTCAATTCAAAATGAGCCAGCCAGTTATCTCTATACTCCCTTCGAAATCTACGGACTACGTATGACTTCCAAGGCACAAGCCAATTTTCTCGTCAACTATCTATCGCCTGCTCTAAAGAAAGCGGGATTCGGGCATATTAAGATCCTCATAGGAGAAGAACAGAGACAATTCTTTCCTGAGTGGGCAGAAGTGATATTTCAGAACCAAAAGGCCAGAAACGAGACTTATGGAATCGCTGTCCATTGGTACTACGATCATCTTTATAGTCCAAATATCCTGGATAAAACAAAAGAACTCTTTCCGGAAAAATATATATTATATACAGAAGCGTGCACCGGACTTCTTTTTCACAATTATGGTTAGTGAAGCACAATTAGTTTATAAAATAAATTTTTTTATACTAAACTTCTTTTGTTCTATGATGAAAACATTCTCGTATTATTTTAGTAATTTAAAGAGAAAATATAAGTAAGACGAATAAGTAAGAAATAAACGAACTTGTGACATGTTAAAATGTCAAGGATTTAAAGTTTTACGAGTCAGTTTTCATGCCTATTGTAGGTCACACAATTTTGTAAATATAATAAATGGCAATTTACAGATAAACGAGTAGTTCTGGGGTCATGGTTACGCGGTGAGAGATATGCACAAAATATCATCGAAACTACGACACATTTTGCGTCTAGTTGGATAGACTGGAACATCGCTCTAGACTTGACTGGTGGACCGAATTGGCAGTCAAATTTTGTTGATTCGCCGATAATTGTCAACGCGAGCGCCGATGAATTTTACAAGCAGCCGATGTTCTACGTGCTTGGACACTTTTCAAAGTTCATATCCAATTAGTTTTCTGCATCTTTATTCAAGCTTACATGACGTACTTTTGACATCAGCAATATATTAAATTCTCTCTCTCTCTTTCTCTCTCTCTCTCTCTTTCACACTCATTCTGTGTGTGTTTCAATAATTAATCCTTTCAATTATGTTTTTTTAAATAGATATGTTCCACCGGGTAGCGTGCGAATTAGTTCAACTTTGGCAAGAAGTGAGGGAATTGACAGCGTCGCATTTTTCACACCCGACAATGCTACTGTGTTGGTGATTTTAAATCGGTGAGTTATACAAACGTGTATATTAATGTATACACGCTTGAAATAAGGATGTTATACATTTTAACATTTTTTACGACGCGTTGCAAACAAGTATGGACTATTTAAAATTTTTATGTCTTTCAGGAATGAGGTAAACAAGAAAATTTTGATCGAAGATTTCGATAAAGGGACAATAAAGATAAATGTCACTGCAAAGTCTATAAATACCATAAAATATTGGTAAATAAGATATAAACATACTGTAGCAATTGTAGTAGTGTAGCAGTCGTTATAAGTGTACACTCGGGAAACGTGAAGTCTGAAATGCAACTTGTGGAGTCGAGAGAAACGCTTCCCCTTCCACGCATCAATCCCCTTCAGTCGTGATCATTCGATTAGGCGTCAATTAAAGGAAAGAACTATATTGATGTTTTTTCTTCAATGTTTACAAATCATGAGTCTAAGTAAGTGCCTAAACCGCGAAATTTGCGGCGCGAAATCAAACAATGCAATCTTTGATCTCGCGCTTTGTAAACACAGAAGAGAAAACATCAATATGATTCGAGCTTTCTTTTCTTTGACGTTCAACTGAATGATTACGACTGTAGAAGAATGCCTCATAGAAGAATAATTAAAGAAGTTCCCCCGGCTCGGCTAATTGTACTTTAGACTTCATATTTCCTGAGTGTATATTTAAACGAATACGGGTTCATTGTTATTTAAAACTTATTTATCTGTAACTTATTTGTGTATGTGTGTGTTTTATATTAAACTTTGTTACTATATATTTTGTTTTATTAAAGTATGATATAAAGCGAATTTACTCTAATACGTGTTTTTTTCAAAGTCCTATTAATATATACTTATTTATTCTATTTTCATGTTATATTCTGCATTTTAATTGCAACTCGTCTTTCCCGTCTCTTATTTGTATCCGTTTACGCGTTGTTAGTTTGTAGGTTCGCAATTAATTAAAACTTTCACATAATTCGGGTCACTCGACATTAGAACTCTCGTGGAAAATTCTTAGCTCTCGGCCAAGAATTCGCGAGACGTGTCGTATTTGATGAGCGCCACGAGAGCGGATTGCTCAAACGCTTTCAATCTCGCTGAATGTTTAAAAGATCTCTCGCGTTTAATCCACTAGCTGACTATGACTAAAATATGAGCAAAAATAATTTAAACTCGTAAGGCGCATGGAGTATAAATTCCAATTACTTTAACGTGGTACTGTAATCTATTTCCTAAATGCTTTTTTAACGTATCTCTATCAAGAATATATATTTTTTATATAATATATATTTTAATATATATTTTTATTATATTTTTATTATATTAAATATATATTTTGAATATATATTTAAATATATATTTTTATGATAAATTGGTATCTGACGAGCCGAAATATCTGGCATTCACTTTTTGATTATTTTTTGATTGTTCAATTCATGCTATCGCAATCAACGTGATGGAAATAACAAGTTCGTAAGCGAGAAGAATCAAGTTATCAAAAATAACAGTTAAAGTTTAAAGTTCATTTCCTGTTACGAATACTTAACTAGAGCTTGTGCAAGACATGCTTTATCAGCAACACACACCCAATTGTCATGTAACTTACGAGCTATGTGAGTAAATAAGCGTGTAAAAGTTAATTAGTATATAACTAGTCTCTTCCAATTAGTTCTCTCTTTCCGTCATACACAATTGCCCGTATAATTTCTCACTTATGTTATTCTTATCACGTAGCGGGACATATGCCAGTATTCGTCTTGTCCGTCAACTCGATGAGCATTTGCTTCTGCGATCCGACAATAATACCGGCGCAAAGGGAAATCTCTTAGTAGAATGTGTCAGCAAATTCGAAGTCAAGCGACTATACGTGGCTTCGGGTGGCCACGCTAAATTCGAGCGATAAAATAAAGCTTGGACCGAGGAGTTATCGATGCTCGAAGGACACATTCGCGTCGCTTCCGCACGCGTATTATGTAGGTTACCAGTCCAAGGTCCTGCCTGAACCATGCACCGGGTTATCGTGCGAGCTCGTGTGCGCGCCAGGTAACTCGCTGGTACTTCCTGTGACCTATATATCCTGCTACTACTTCGCTGGTATTTACGGTAGAATTCCGCCGCGAGAGAGAGAAGATTCTGAACTATCTCTTTGGTAAATAACTCTGGTCAGGCTCTTCGATCTCTTTCGGCGAAACAAAGTGAACGATGGCAGCGCGCCAGTCGAGTGCAAGTTACTCGCCTCCCCCGACTCTCTTTGCAAGTAAATATTGATTGTTCTTTTGATATGAGGTGTCCCGATACAAACGGAATAAGTTATGGTGAAGTTCCATAATTTCTTAAATTAAATGTCTTCTGACCGATTTCAAGACAATTTCTGTAATATCTTGTAATCATTATTGCGATTTAGGGTCGACTTTTCTAATCTCTTGGTAAGTTAACTAACAGTTAAATCATATATCTGTCTTTGTCTAAATTGAAGGAAGAACAAAGGCAAATATATGATTTTAGTCATATGCGCGCACGAGTATTTCTCTTTAAGAAGCTTCTGCGTTATTGATGTTATCGCGGAGATGTTTTAAGTAGCAGTTTACTATATTGCTGCAAAAGTTGAAAAAATGAAGTTTAGTGAAGAAATAAGGTAGGAGATAACCAAAGAAAAAACGAAAAGCGATAACCAGAGAAAAAATGAAAAAGGGGACAGAGAGGAAAAGGGAGAAAAAGAGAGAGAAGTACGTTGGACGGAGGTGAAGGTCGAGGTTTAACGCGAGAACCGGCTGGCTAGCTGGCTGGAGCGACTCCGCGCGATGTAGCCTATCGATCTCAGGCGGATCCGCAGCGGTTCCCGGAGAGGAGGAAGTTGTTCCCGAACGTGCCTTCGCGCTCCACGACATCTGTCGATAAGTTATTCAATTCCGACGCTATTGGATTTCCCTTCCAACTCCCGGTGAATCCTCGGTCGCGGTCCGACTGCGCTCCTCGTGGTTACAGCGGCTCGACGGAGGACGAAATCATTTTTCGTTTGTCTCCTCGGCGCATGTGCGCCTTCAAAGTCTCGTTTTCCAGACGGACGATTTGACGATCGGACAATCTCAAGTTGGAGAAATAGCGAATGGAGCACGTGGCCCGACGCCGTCCGCACACAGTTGCATACGAGTGCATCGAGAAAAGAAGCGTTCGCGCGTCCATAATGAAATCGCGAGCCTGTGCTCCCGTGATAAGAAGCTCGCGAATCTGATTTGCGATGCTGCGGCCTCGCCCATTCATTATTGATGCCGTATGTAATGGGGGCTTCTCTTCCCCACGCTCTACCTCTCTGCCTCTCTCTCTCCTTCGTCGCGCTGCACATTGCACTGAGAAGACTGCACTCGCGGCGGATTAAAATTCATAGATATCCTTGAGAATGTATTCGAGGACTTCCGAGCACGGTAACGGTACTATCTCAAACATAGCTCATCGCTATTCTTCGAGCGACAACGGTTGCCGAGGGAGGTCTCGAGAAATTTTTGAAATACGCGAATTCCTCCACGTTAAACGTTGAATTCACGTTGTAACGGTGTCACTTAGCCGCTCCGGAGATTTCTATTTTCAGCACGCGCACACAATACTCCTCTACATCGGGTGTGCGAGTATCGGTCGTCTACGAGGCGCAGACGTGCGACACGTGTACGAGAAAGAATACAGGATCGCAGACGGCATTGCGCGGCAACGAGACAACAACGCGTACGCGTCTCGTAGGTCACGCGAGATGACCGATTATACGGCTCGGCAATCGCAGCTGTTACAAACGTTTCTAATATTTAATTGCGTGATTAGCATTCGGAAAGACGAAGAAATTAAAAGGCACGTTCGGCTGACTGACAGATGTACGTCAGCTACGGCCTCGCGCAACACCTCGTGGTTTCGCGGGTTTCTTCGAACTCATCTCCCATCCAAGAATCGCACGTGTGACGCGAAGGTACGGCACCAATCAGACAATTCCATCGCGATCGCGGTTATTTTTCTCTCTTTCTCGTTTTCTTCTTTTTTTTATGTTCTTCTATTCACGGACGAAACGCATTAGCATGCCGCGCTTGTGGAAACTATGTTTGTGTCACGCGTGAACAGTATATTAATAAGAGATCCGGTATTCCTGTTTCTCCTTTTTTTGTTTCTTCCTTTTTCCTCTCACTTCTGCCGGTAGATCATTCAAGGTCATCATCTGTGCGCAAAGCCACGGAACGAACGCGCAATCGAATAATCGATATCAGAGCGGGAGGAGGTAGTATCGGCTGCAAAAAGCGCGAACACCGCCGATATATCGCCGGCGCGAGATCCGAGCGGAAACAGGTATCCGTCGATGATGCCACGTGCTCCCATCGTGAATGAAATATTATAGATCCGAATCTCGCGAGCGTGTGCATAAATCCCGATGACTTTTTACGCTAACGCGAAGAAGACGATTTCCTAGCGTTTAACTGCACTGATGTCTTTTTTTCGAACACCGAATCGAATTTTAAAGAATGTCGATCGTGCACTGTGTCCTTGATATGCTATTTTCCAACATTTTGATGCTGATTTTATACAGTGTACTTTAATAGAATAGCTTAAGGATATTTTGACATTACAAATAATACGTATCAACATTTTTACAATTTAGCAGCATCACACATATATATAATATTATATATATATATATATATATATATATATATATATATATATATATATATATAACAGATATATTTAAATATCTCTAAAACTTTGACTATGTGTGCGTAAGCTACTATACGTAGTGATCGATTGTGAAACAAATTAAAATTATATCAGCTTTATTTCTAGCAACCTCATCTATTAAAAATACGTAAATAAGTTATTCATGCTGAAATTAGAGCGTGTGGTAATATTCTTAACGTTTATAACAATAAATGGGTTAGATATAAAATGTAAAAACTTTTGTGTATTTTAAGATTAAAAAAAAGCATGCTTTAGAAATGTCTCTATGATCTGTTGAAGACATTTTGTCTTTGCATATATCGTGTATTGCAAACTAAATTTAGACCAACGACTAGATTAAATTGAAGATATCATAATACTAACCAACTTAAGCGTTCGTCACGCGATCCTAGATGAAGATACGAATGATTTCGTACATGTTAATATTTATTAAGTTGTACATAGAGTCGTACATGGTAACATATATGATTTCGTTGACTGTAAATGTTTTGTTTTTCCGTACACGCTTTCATGCATGCACTAATCAGCGATTAATTTTCACATCGGAGTCGATAATATACTTCGAAATCATTTGTGAGTATAAATGTCACATTTATCGTGTCATAACCAATGTATCAATTTACAAGTTGAAATAATAATAATAATGTGGAGCAAAGAGCAAGTTACCGTGTTAATTGAAGCGTATAAAAAACGTGCTATATGCTGTAAAGTATCAAAATTACGTTGATTATGATATAATGATGTGGCATTTACACTCACAGATTTCGGAATATATCATTGGTCTCGATATGAAAATTGATCGCTGATTGATGCAACGTGTACCAAAAAATATAGCCTTCACAGTCAAGGAAATCATATATGTTACTATGCACGACTTTATGCACAAAAATTATCATAAATGTTAGCATATACGAAATTATTCACACAATCGAAGATCTTGTAACGAGCGTTTTACTTGGAGTTATTATTTTTGTATTAGCATAGAAATATCTTTAAATTACTTTATTATCTTAATGTAGCGATTATGTATCATGATATTATACCGCCTTCTCAGACTTATCGGATTGGATATGAACCGATTAATTCCTATTTTTAAACGCATCTCATATACACACATAAATGCGATTATTAAGATTAAAACATTTATATCGTAACGTAGTTAAGGCAAACATGTATGTGCAAACTGATATGATTTCCATGAAAATATAACGATTTAAGGAAGCAGTAAAAGAAATAACTAAAAAGAAATAACTTGTACAATATATATTTGGCAAGACTATACGTTATTGTTTAGCGAGTGGATATATTATGTGGAGATCTGATACACACTTTAATGTTCTCTTCGTAAAGGCATTGGCTTATAAACACAGGAGAGTATCCGACAATGAACACACGCATAGTTGAGATTCTTCCAGTATACTATATATTACCGGCTAGTTTCTGCATGTTTAGCGAATCCTTGATCTCTCAACGCGAAATAACTGTAATTTCGTATGACTGTGCATGTGTGTACCATGTAAAATATGTATATTTAGTGAATCGCTCGCTTGTGAATCTTGTTTGCGACTTATTCAGCGGTATTATATAGCTGCGATTTGGTCGATTGTTATTTCACTGTCTTGCGCGAGAAACTAGTGAATCAGATTGGAATTGAAGAATATCTAATGTCGCGGCTGATCGATTGTAAATGAGAGAAACAGACACATGGGACGCGTTATGTGTATTATTACATATCTCGAGATCTACGGCCGCGCATGTACAACATCGAGAAACACGTTTACAATATTTATTAGCCGGATAGACGGAATTAATCACAAAGTTCGCAGAACCGGTCGTAGATTGGATGATATTACAAACGGTTGACAAATGATTAATTGCATGTAGCTCTTATTACGTGCAGCTTTTATTTTTACTTCACTTATACACATCTACGTACACACTTCATCGCGATGACAATATCATTACTATTATTACTTGTTTTCTATTTATTCATTGAGAGGTTGCCTCGTGTGACAAATCGCGAAAGTCTTTCTCTCGTTTCCTTTTTTTGTCGTTTAATTCGGATATTATTTCACTACCTACAGCAGTAAGATTAATACAACTTCGAAAATTAATGCAACATTATGTTGCGGTACGCAGCGTGCAGAAAATTACGTGCGTGTATAAATAATCGCGAGTTTAAACGTGGCTACATCGTAAATTGATTATAACGACCACAATCGTGACCGGTTTATTCTTTTATTTCTTAATTTACATGTCCACATTAACATAAAGACACGGACTTTTATTCACGTCACACCCACAATTCATTCTTTATATGACATCACGAGCGTGATTTCTCTTTTTTTCTTTTTGTTTTTTCTTTTTTGCGTCGAGTTGAGTAACGCGCTTCGTTGCTGAGAGCAAAGTGTGTCTGAATGTTGATAGCTCACACGATCGTGTAACATTAAAAGCGAATAAATAACTGTAACATCAATATTAATATCGGTTGGGCTAAAATATTGTTTGAAACTACCTTTGCACAACAATAAAATGTCCTAAAAAAAGCGCGTGATATTGTGCCGGAGAGATAATGAAATTCACAGTCCATTAAACTTACGAATACATTTTCTTTACACTTTTTACGTAATATCATTATCTGCATGCAGACAAGCTTTTGTTAACTTTATGAGCTCAAATTGCAGATAATTCCCGTTTGCGTAAATATTTTTTCCCCCGCAGTAACGCTATGATATATTGTTATAGTTCGTCGTATTTAGCTGCTATATCGAGTCAATGATCAGAAAAATATGTTTTAACAAAAATTTCGCCGACAGTTAAAGTAAGAGAGTCTTTTTGGTTGACGAAAATATTCATCGATTTATTTACTTTCTTAAATGTGATAAATGATTGTGTAAAGTAAGCGGTCGCGAATATATATCGCAATTTGCGCTAAAGATATAATTAAGGTAAAGAAACAACCGGCATTAGAAGGTTAGATATTAAATGAAAATTATAGTGATTCATTTATGCAGTTGTAGGGAGAACGAAGGCCACGCGAAAGTCGTTCTCTTCAATACCCGCGTATTGAAATTACACGGTACGTAATAACATTTGATCTCGTTTAGCTGATCTTGCGCTAAAATAGCATTGACCTCAAGTAGGAAAAATAGAGTGATATATATCCTATTGTGGAAGATGTATCGATGAGATTATGCGTGATTTGCTTGTGATTTGTGTACGACGGTATAATATTACCTCGAGTATAATAATAGGTCGTAACATCTAATTTTGTAATTTGTTCGCGCGCAGAAGCTTCCGTATATGATGTACAAGAGAATAAAATTTCATCAGTTTTCTAGAATTTACGACTAATCACCGTAACCAAAGCATGTTTTGTACATTCGGGCTTCGCAAAAAAATGTAACGAGCAAAAAATGTAGTTTTAAGGCCGATTTTATAAGTAGGTACAAGCCAATAAACAAAAATGGTTATACGAATATAAGTATCTCCAAGAGACAAGAAAAGAAAAAAGAAAAGAAGAAAAGAAAAGAGAAGAAAGAGAGAGAGAATTTTTGCGCGTTTCGATTATAAGAGATTGATTCGGATTTGAGAAACAGTTAATAATTGCAGTTGTAATTTAACCTTTGAAACGCTTATTAATTTTATTTTCATGACTGTTAAGAATCCAAATTAATTAGACAGTAAAATTATATTCGAGAATATTTTGGAAAATCTCCTCGGTGCATGTTGATACCGTAGATAACGGCCGTGATAACGGCTTATATTTGCCTATCACAAATCATCTCTTAGATTTTTTAAATCGCCCAGTCATTCTTCCCTCTTTAATCCTTTTACCTTTGGAAAATATCTTTGAGATACTTTAGAGTATCCCGAGAAATTCTTCCCGAACTTCGCGTCTCACGTGAAAATCCAGGAGAGATGTTCTTTCGCGTGAGAACGCTGAGTGTAGGGTCTGCGATACGAGTCTGATTAGAGTGTAAGCGCGTACGATATAATCACTTAACGACTTATTTCTTTACAGCAGTTATTCATTACGTATAATGACACTGTGACTATTAAACCACTCGTGTCCATCGCGGTCGCGTGATTATGAAATCGCACACGCCCCATTCCCTGGCAAGAACTCGCGAGCCAATCGTGCAATTGTAACGTCGGCTAACGTCAACGTTGATTACAAATAACATCAATCATTGTGTCAACGATGCGTTGGAAATGCTTCAATTGTTAACGTCCCTCAATGCGAGAAACGCGGCTATCGGCCGTTCGATCACGGGATTCCTCAGTGAAATATGTGTGTGTGTGTGAAATCATGATTGACTTTTTACACGTTACGTAAATGATTCCAATAATGTGGATGTCTAATCGTTCCGCTAATTAGCTCAGGAATCATCGCTAATCGCGCAGGAAACAATACGATCAACGTCCAAACTAAAAATAAAATAAATCTCCGATTGCGCATGAAACCTCTACTTTTTCTTAACAAGCTCTATTTTCCTTGTCTTTATGAAACAAATTAGAAGGAAAATTCACTGCATGCGGTTGAATCGGCGAGAGTGGGCGCGATTGCACCACGGAATTTACCTCTAACGACGAGAAAAGAATGCGTCAGATTGACTATGCTATTTGCGCATACAGTCTGCCATTCGGATTGCCCACATGAGTCATCAGACGCTTTTGACTTTTCATGAATCATCTGAAATAGCATTGATTGTGATGTTAACAGAAACCTTCAAGATCGTTGATTATCTCGAAAATTGCGAGCGCAGAGGAATCGTGAGAATAGAAGCACGAATAGCGTATCGATTCGCTCATCTTGAAGAAGAATGCTTGTTCGCGCTCGAGCGAAATAATTCACTCCAAAGATTCACGAAGAGTAATGTAAATTACATGAACGATATTTCTAACATTTGCTTTTCGCTGCGAGTCGTCTATACGTGTGAGTTCAGTGACTTTTGTGTTATTTAGTAAATCTATTAAATTCAATGTACATTTTTACCTTAGAATTACGAAATGGAAGAATTATCGAGATAGATGATAGAAAATCGTGTTGATTCTGCGAAACGAGATAAAACACTCGATAAGATGAAGAAAACATATTTGTCAGATAATTCCGGAATAATCGCAAAGTTAAACCGTGTTTCGTGTATAATTTTCAAACAAATAACGTACGTCGGGACGTCGAATGCGATTAACAGCACACATGCTAAATCCGCAGCACGGTAAAGATCGAAATGAATACGGCACGTTGTTCACAAAAATTGAATAGACTGGATATCCTTGGGATTCCGATTATATGATCGCGCTAGTCGATTTTACGGGCGTCTACACTTGGCACAACATATAGATAGCATTTTAACGTGTCGATATACATCGTAGAAATATCGGTATTTGTCGGAATTTCAAAACTATGAAGAGGAACTCCGACGCGTAGTTGATGTTTCGCAACACAAGAATGTATTATCGGGAGAAGGATTACTAGTTTTACATTCAAAGAAAGAATCGTGTAACATATACGATCGAGAAAGATATTCTGGGACAAGTAGGTGGTGCAAACCAGGCTAATACAAACCAAGATCCAATTGTTAAAACGAAATATACAGCGAGATGCAATACATGAACGGGCAAGAAGTGAGAAACAAAGAATTCTGAAAGAAACTTCACAAGCTAGAAAAGACATCGAAGAAACTCGTAAATTGCGCTTTTCACACATTTGTAGGTATGTTTTTTTTACGCGCGCGCGTGCGTGTGTGTGTGCGTATGCATGAGTATATAAACCAAACTGATTGATAAGATAAATTTAACACATATATAAGTGTATGAGAAATCGTTTTTCGTGTCGTCAGGAGAAAAAAAGTGACGAAAATTGAAGATAGAGGAAGTAAAACTCGTCGTGAAAAACTAGTATTAAAATAGAAACATCGTTTTTCTATCTCTGAGCTACGTTGAAGAATGCAATAAAAATTTCTCGTAAAGATATCTCATAAAGATATCTCGTTCATAGTAATGAGGATTTTCACATCAATTATTCGACTTTTCTCCCTCATTGTCAATCAATGTTGATTAGATATCATTATCACTCCTTTAATATTTTTATTAAACTATATCGAAAGGAAAATCCTTTCTTCTTATCTCTTACTTATTAATAGTGTAATTAATAATCTTGCTAAATTATATACCGATTAGAGCTGAAATTTTCGCGAGGAACGAAAGCAGATTCTGCATTTAAGAAGAAATTTCCGCCGACATACGATTGCTCGTCCGTATTACGATTTGTAAATAAAATATCGTCTGACAGGATGCGCGTACTCATTGTAAAAACGACCGAGGATTCGAGCGTCAGTGCGGTTTTACATGGGTTTTCTGCTCTTCGACTACGCGGCCTTCGAGGAACGAGACGATCGACGTCAGGAAAAAGGATCAGGCGTCGCTGAGCGGGGAACTCTGCGATAAAAATCGTTGGAATTGCGAGCCTGTTCGACTGTTCCTTATCCACCCCCACTCACGGGTGCCAACAGAGAGGCGAGAGCAGAAATATAAACACCACCGCAGATTGTGTCGTGAAATCGTCGATTCCGAACGCGGCTGTCGTCTAGGCCCAACTAGAGTGTTGAAAGTGCTCGATTGGTTTCAAAGTGCTTTTGAAAACATCGCGAAAATGTTTCTGGTGCAGTCGGTGATTCTCAGCGCATTTCTTATCGGCCTCGCTGCATCCGCTAATTCCGACGTGGAACTGCAGCTGCTCCATGTGGTAAAGAAATATTTAATTTTTTTCGTAGATTCGTCTTCGTGTGATTTGAGAGAATTGCTTTGCCAAAAAGAAGATTGTGTGAACCGCTATAAAAGATACAAGGAAAGTCTTTAAAGACTTCATTTCTTTGGTAGATATATAGACAAAGTGATACACAAATATACACTTTACCAATTTTTTCGATATTAATATATATTGTAAGAAAAATAGCCGTAAGTAATTTTCCAGAAAGAACTAAGTGAGAAGAAGACAGTGGTTGTCGAAATATAATAAAATAAAATTTGAAAAAAATATGCTTCATTCTAGATATAAGCTGATGTTATGCACAGTATGAAGTTTACGTATATATGCCATATTGATTTCTTGTTTACTTCCTATAAATATATAGAGAAAACCTTCATTATTTTTTTTACATTACATTATTAAGGAATTAATCTATTATATCGCCGGCAATTGCTTCCATCTATTTCTGCCAATATCTAAGCAATTTTTAATATGCGATTTAATATTACTACAAAAATTATTTTATTGTATATATCGCATCTGTAAATCTAAAATATTTTGTTGTTACTGAAATATTTCTAAATTGATGAATCTATTATGTATTAAAGATGGATACTTTGTAAAGATTAGCAGAAGCCTTTACGTAGGCTTGAATTTAAGCCAACATAAACCTTGCTTAGGAGCCCTTGCCAACCTTTACGATGTCTGCGTTTTTCGTATATGGTAGACTAATTAATTTCGTGAGATAAGAGACTTTAGCAACAACTTAAAAAGATGTAAATTACTAAGAAAAAAGTTAAAATTTATTTTGTTATATCTTCGCAACCAGTGCCGTTTCCCACTTGATTTTCTCTTGGTATTACTTTTAATTATCATCTCAACAATGTAGGATCTCAACTTTGATTAATATCAAAGAAATCGATAAAGTGTCATATATTTTTATCATATCTTCTTTCAACTTTTTGCGAACGTGCGATAAAATCATGCCCGTATGATATCCATTTCTTCTGCGGGAGTGTAAAACGAGCGTCCGTTTTAAACCGTCCTTTATCAAATAAATCAATAGTACACTCGCGTAGTGAAATGCGCAGATGTGAGTTTTGACGTCGAGAGAAAGAGAAAAAGAGAGAGGAAAGTTTCGAAAAGAAATTAAAAAGTTACGGGCAAGTGATCATCTGCCGTGCGAGACAAGTAACAAAACATTTGCATTATCAAGACCGTCGTCTGCGCGGTGACAGTGATGATAATAGATGACGACAACGGCGTAACTTATAAGTAAGAGTGTTCTCTGTTTCGAAGGTATTTCGCCACGGGGACAAAGTGCCTCATCGTGAGTACCAAAACTACCCCAACGATCCGTATCGCAACCATTCTTACTACCCAATGGGAAACGGCGACTTGACCAACGTGAGTAGAAACCACGGCGATCGATATAGGACGCCATGCGTAATTAGGCGTGTCGGTTCGTTCATTAGTTTTGCTACATTAGCGATTTCATTGCTCGACAATGCCAGAGACATCGTACATACGAGACGTCCATAATGATAACTTACGGTACCATCGGTGTATCGTCGTTACGTAATATTCTTGAGACAATAAATTTTTTAGAGGTAGATTAAATAACATGGAATTGCAAAGACTGTTTTTTACACTGTTTTTGTATCTGTTTTATAGTCCCGTCGTTACGTAAAGCGAACGCGCGAGCGTTCGAGATTAATTCCCATCTCTCCTAATGCTTCGAGAAAAAATGTCCGCGAGATAAAGAGCTAGATTATATTAAGTCTGAAATTTCTATTAATTCCGCCCTGTTCCGAGCTACTGGAGATAGAGTTATTCTTAAAGCTGAAAAGAGACAGTCAGATCTAAAGAATACTCGCGCGTCTCTCTCCAATATCCGCTTCCACGCAAGTCTACACAAATCTGTCCGTCTAAATGTGTAATATCTCTCGTTGTAATTAGCAAGGCAAGATGCGGGAGTACAAAATCGGAACGATGCTGCGCGAAAGATACGATCAATATTTCGGCCCAGACTATTGGCCGACCAAGATCTACGCCCGATCCACAGAGGTCCCGCGGACCCAGCTGTCTCTTCAGTTAGTCCTGGCGGGATTATTCCCGCCCTCCGAGAGGCAAACCTGGAATCCGCACTTGCCCTGGATTCCGGCGTGGACGTTCTTCGTGCCGTACGAGGCTGACAACCTCTTGTTTCCGCATTACTGTCATCGGTGGGTAACTTTACAGAGTATTGATCGCGGAACGATAACAGGCTCGAGAGGATTCTTAAATCTCTCGTCTCCGAGTCATACACCGATCTCCGTTCATACTTATCCGAATCATAAATGTCTTTCTCTTTTATCTCGAGCTCAACTCCGCGCGACGTCAATAACGTTCCTCTGATTTTTGAATCACGCGATTTATTCTCGGCTATTATTGACTTTTAGATACAAAGAAGAATACAGGCGATTTCTTCAGCTAGACAGCACGAGAAAGATGATCAATAAGTACAAGAGCGTAATGGATTATTTAACGGACCACTCAGGTAAACTGATTGACACTACGGGGGCGGTTAGCCATATGTACAATCTATTGAAGGAAGAGGTAGGTATCCGAACGCGTTTCAAGTAACAGTAACAAATCGAACGAAGGGAGCACGTTTATCCGAATTCTCAGATTTAACGCAAGATTATTTTCAGGCCGCGCAAAACCTGACGCTGCCAAGATGGACGGAGAACATTTTCCCGAACCCGATGCAAGAAATAATAGAGTTGGACTTCAAACTTCGATCATACACGAAGGCCTTGAAAAGATTAAATGGAGGTTAGCACAGCTACTGCATAATCCATACTTTTTATCATACTATTTTAAAAAGGAACTACAAAATGTCTAATCGCAACGCCGCTGGCAGGTATGTTGTTGCGCAAGATGGTGGACGACATTCAGGAACACCGAGTGGGAAAATTGTCAAGCGACAAGAAAGCTTTCCTATTCGGCAGTCACGAAGTCAATGTGGCTGCCTTATCTTACGCTCTGGGAACGAATGAACCAACGATACCTGCTTACGGTTCTACGATCATTTTGGAAACTCATCGCGACAAGAAAGGATCCTATTACGTTCGGGTACGTTACACGACATTTGTCACGTCCATCAAGTAAATTATTCGAGAATTAAATCGATTTACGCTGCTAAATTTTCGCAAAGAGTGCAGCGAGAGTAGAAATATTTGGAAAGTTCAAGATATCGATGGGTACTAATAGCACATTTATTTAAATTGAAATTCTCTTGTTCAAATAACATAAACAATTGCTTCCATAAGAAAGCAACTATGTGTTTTAGAAAAATATATAAATTCCTCATTTGAAAGAAAATTTATTAGATAAAAATATGTATATTAGTACAAGTAAATATGTTACTACACTGAGAGAAAAATTATCTTAAAATCAACAAATATTTCCTTGATGGGTGCCATTAACATATTTACTTAAATCTACATTCTCTTTATTTAAATCAAATATTGTTTATTTAAATCAAGTAAACAATATTTGATTTAAGTAAAGAGAATGTAGATTTAAGTAAATATGTTAATGGCACTCACCAAGGAAATATTTGTTGATTTTAAGATAATTTTTCTCTCAGTGTAGTACTCATGGAATAAGTATTTGTTTGCTTTTTAGAATTTCTCTCAGAGTGGCCAAGGACAAATTCTAAGATACAAAATTTAAAGAAAAAAGATTGACTCCCTCTTATTTTCATCACTTCCTACATATATTTTTTGTTCTATGGCGATAATACTTGAAGTTTCAATATTTGTCAGGGATTTGTATCATTTGCGTATCTCGACTCTGCAGGTCTTACTATGGACTGGCGTTACCGAACAACTGAACATCCAAACGATCCCCGGCTGTGCGGAGTTATGTCCTTTTGAAGAGTTTCTTAAGATTGTAAAGGACGTTCTGCCAAACGACGACGAGTATTACTGTCGGAAGGATAAGACAACGGATGAGCTCAAGCCGAACGCGCATCATCGATCATCGGCCGCGAGTGTCGCCGACGATAGGATCTGGCGGCACATCTTCCTCGTCGTTCTGCTCGCGTTCACGTCGAAATTCGTGCAGAAGTGATAAACATATAAACGGAAATCCTCGTCGTATACTAAGGAGTATACACGTGTACGTTCCAGGTATTTATTTATTTCGGTACTTTCGCGCGATTAAGCAAAGTAAAGGAGCGGCGACGTGATCCTTAACCGGGGGAAATAGTTGCGAAAATAATCAGCGGCTTTCGCACTGGCCAGTATCCCCGTATCGGAAATACCTTAGCGAACTATGAGAGTACCCGAATAAAGCCCAGCGCGAGGTTGCGGCTATGCATTTCACTGCGTACGTTGCGGTTATCGCGCTGATGCATTTTACCGCATACGTTGTTATACCGTCGCGTTGTATACGAACTCTGTACATATGTAAATAGATGTAGGTATACCGATCTTATTTCGTAGTCGATATCGCGCGCAGCCATATACATTTCAACGCGAATCCCTCATTCGTGAACACATGATACCACAAACACAAGAGCGAGCAAGCCGGTGTTGCACTTAGTCGATCGTTCGTAGATGTGCGTAATTAAACATTGTAGACAGAGGTCACCCGAGATATCCACTGACATTTTTCACTGCCGTACGAGCATCTAGGAACCATCATTCGGTCGCGTTAATATTAGCATTCATTTTGAGCAGAACACCATATTTATGGACATACACTGAGATCAATAAAGATCAAGTAATAATACATTGATGGAGTCTTCCGAAATACACGTTCCCTGTCCGCCCAGTGCATCATTGCAGATATACAAGGTAGACACGGTTTACCATACGCAACCTAACTACGCGACAAAAAGTAGGTTGCGTATTAAATGTGCAATTAAATTGTTAAAGGACCGCTGATGGAATAGTGCAGTGAGCAGAAGCTGTATAAAGTATATAAGCGGCAGTTTGACAAGTATTTTAATGTCACAGGTACACCGTGATCGGATTAAGCTCTCCATTTGGCGAATGTGAAATTGGAGCAAATTCGAATCCGAAATGAACGGACTGATTCTCCTATTTTCGCCGAGGTGAAGAGTTCAAGAACCTGAACGCGGTTGCACAGTTAGCCCCGACGTTTCGCGTAGATGTGCGAGGTAGAAATAGACATCGCGATTTCGATCGACGTATCCGATTTAGAGCGCCGTTAAAATTGCAAAAGAGGAGACGGGAATTTATTCCTACGTGACATTTAATATTTACGGCGTACTAAATCGCGATGGAAAAAGCCTGAGAAGCACCGTTGCCGCCGTCGCCGCCGCTGCGTGATTCTCGCGCGATCCTTCGCCGCCGCGTTTTCCGCTCGGCGTGGAATCAAGTATCTCGGCGCAGATACGGAGGGGTCCCTGCACTTTCGTTACGGTGATTCACCTTGCGTGGCGAAACCGCGAATGCGTGTGTGCATCTGATGCACTCGTTACGGAGCATGTTTCGTATCAAGTGCGTTATTTACATAACGACGGTTCTTGACAGCGTGTTGCACAAGGTATCATCGGACAAATAACACGCTTGTCTTATACTCTCCTGCTATCTAAGAAAATGAATATGTCCGACAGCCGCGGATTAAAACGGTATAAAAAATTAACGCGACGATCCCCATCTTCCGTTTTCTTCTTTCCTATTTCCTTTTGCGGCGATTCGCTATTCGCGCCAACATAAAACGTGTCAACGGCAGCGACACAAACTCTGTGTTAAATTATTTTGGAGGGAATGTATCTCTTCTCTTTCTCTCTCTCTCTCTCTTTCTCTTTCTCAGCGACTCTGTGACTTTCTACTTCCTGATCGTGTGTTTGATCGGATTTCAATTTGAATTCACGCTGACTCATCCCCCTAAGAAGAAAACAGAGCGCCGGAGCGTTCTGAATCAAGGAAAACATTTTCAGCACGATCACGATATTTGCGAGGCAAAAGTGCCGCTGGCACAGTCCGGTGTACTCTGTACGATTCGATAAGTGCTGCATATAACCGCTGCACTAATTTACACGAAATTGTGTGCACACATAAGTTGCGTATACGTATGCGTGTGTATGTGCGCGCAAGTATGCCGCTCAATTTGAATAATTAACAGCGTTGAATTATTAAAGCTCGAGATCTGGAAGGCTCGTTAGCGTGATCGGAAACGCCAGCTCGCTACTTGTATTTACTTAACCCAAAGTACTTCCGACATCTAATACGAGCGTTTGATTTTGAAATCTTATTAAAGTGAACACATCTACCATTTCCTAAAAATAATCTCGTCGAAGATATACAGGGTGTTCGGAAAGTACCGGGACGCCCGAATATCAGGAAAAATATAAGTTTTACAAAAAAATGTTTCAGACAAAAGTTGTGGCGTTTAAAAAGATGTATTTACTGATCACATCAGTTTGACCTTGGGTTGCGTAGCGAAGGTCAG